AGGGTATCGATTCATTTCTCTCAATGTTTGCGGACGATGCTAAAATTATGAGAAGGATTAAAACAGAAGAGGACTGTTTGAGGCTTCAAGAAGACCTAGACAAGCTGAAGGAATGGTCGAACAAATGGTTGTTAGAGTTTAACCCAACAAAATGTAATGTAATGAAGATAGGTGTAGGGAGCAGGAGGCCAGATACAAGGTATCATCTGGGAGAGGAAATTCTTCAGGAGTCAGAGAAGGAAAAAGACTTGGGGGTTGATATCACGCCAGACCTGTCTCCTGCAGCACATATCAAGCGGATAACATCAGCGGCATATGCCAGGCTGGCCAACATACGAACGGCATTCAGAAACTTGTGTAAAGAATCATTCAGAACTTTGTATACCACATATGTCAGGCCAATCCTGGAGTATGCAGCCCCAGCATGGAGTCCATATCTAGTCAAGGATAAGACTAAACTGGAAAAGGTTCAAAGGTTTGCCACCAGACTAGTACCCGAGCTGAGAGGTATGAGCTACGAGGAGAGACTACGGGAATTAAACCTCACTTCGCTGGAAGACAGAAGAGTTAGGGGGGACATGATCACCACATTCAAGATTCTGAAGGGGATTGATAGGGTAGATAAAGACAGTCTATTTAACACAAGGGGAACACGCACAAGGGGACACAGGTGGAAACTGAGTGCCCAAATGAGCCACAGAGATATTAGAAAGAACTTTTTTAGTGTCAGAGTGGTTGACAAATGGAATGCATTAGGGGGTGATGTGGTGGAGGCTGACTCCATACACAGTTTCAAGTGTAGATATGACAGAGCCCGATAGGCTCAGGAATCTGTACACCTGTTGATTGACGGTTGAGAGGCGGGACCAAAGAGCCAGAGCTCAACCCCCGCAAACACAACTAGGTGAGTACAACTAGGTGAGTACACGCACACACACACACACACACACACACACACACACACACACACACACACACACACACACACACACACACACATACAATCACACACACACACCCACTAGAGTCGTAGGTAAATAGGGCCTGGGCTCCATTCGAGATTGAAATAAATGGGCAGAGTTTCTTTTACCTGATGCTGCTGTTCACCAAGCAATAAACAGGTACCCGGGGGATCGACAGGTGCTACGGACTGCATCCTATGAGTGCGTGTGTGTGTGTTAGAGAGAAATATATGAAGTACCGAAAATTAGGTCGGAATTCAATACATTATATAACGTTGGGCTAAAAAAGCGGAGTCTAGGAACTAACAGCTATATATATATATATATATATATATATATATATATATATATATATATATATATATATATATATATATATATATATATATATATATATATATGTGTGTGAATATCACGAAAATAAACACGTGATTAAGAATGTGACAATGTCAGACCACGGAGGAAAAATGAAACAGGAATTTCCTTAAGTACTTTCGTATATTAAATACATCTTCAGAAGGTCTTCAGAAGGTCACCTTCTGAAGATGTATTTAATATACGAAAGTACTTAAGGAAATTCCTGTTTCATTTTTCCTCCGTGGTCTGACATTGTCATATATATATATATATATATATATATATATATATATATATATATATATATATATATATATATATATAGTGTGACAGTGTGACAACGTTCTCTCAGCACAAACACAGCCCTCAGCTTCACCAATAGTATTAAGATATGCACTCATTCGACCATGTGTGTTTTCCCCTTCTCCTCAACTTGTCATTCTCATTATAGTATCAAAGGCAAGTTTACCTGGGTAATATGTACTTTTTATGGTTTGGTAATTATATATTTATGCGTGGTGACGTGGGATTGTGAAGGTATGCTTGATGCTGAATTTTCTGTGAGGTCGATCTCTCCCACTCTCTGTTTTCTCATAGTCTAACCTGTCTCTCTCTCTTTCTCTCTCTCTCTCTCTCTCTCTCTCTCTCTCTCTCTCTCTCTCTCTCTCTCTCTCTCTCTCTCTCTCTCTCTCTCTCTTTCTCTCTCATCTCTTAGCGTCAGGTCTTAATAAATCTGTAAAATAGCCCTCGAAGAAATAATTTCTCAACTGATCAAGTCAAGAAAATATGAAAATAGGTAAGATTCGTACTAGAATCATTGATCTCACAGTTTCAGAATTAGGAAGAACAATTAAGTTACTAAATTAACTTAGAATTAATCAACTTACTAAAATTCACGGTAAAGAAGCTAGCAATTAATGAAGAATTTCTTCTCTACAACCTTTCATTCTCCTCTGAAATATTTTCAGGTGAAGAATGAATGCATGATGTACAATGTTTGGTTAAATACACATGTGAGAGAATTGAAAGCGTTTGGATCAATCATACATAGGGTAATGGGGTTAGGGCCTATTAAATATAAGTTATGGGGTTAGGACCTATTAAACATAGAGTAAGGCATTGGGTAAAACTAGAGAGATCACGGTAGAGACGTCATCATCTGCTGATGTTTGATGACATCTGAGTTTGTCAACATCCCCCACTGCCATTTTTTTTCTCTTCATCATAACCCAGAAGTCAAATTAATGAATGTAATTGCGTATAGAATAAATAATTCGTTTTTTTCTCGTTATGCTTGCTGAACACACTAATGAAAAATGTATCAACTTTGGATTTCCGCAATGCTGAATAAATAATATATAAAATCTAATTAACTCCATGCAATGTAGTTTGAAACACGAAAAATGCTCGAATTAGTAATTAAAACATCAATAAAAATCCCAATACGTGGTTAGATTACATTTGCATTTTGACACACAAATTTTGAATACATAGATGGGAGAAGTTGAAAAAAAAAGATGATTTTCCGTCATTATAAGTGGCGGCAGGGACTAAAAAAAGTTTGTTTTCAGCGCTCTGCACAAAAACTTACAAAAATTAGTTTTGTATTGTGTGTGTGTGTGTGTGTGTGTGTGTGTGTGTGTGTGTGTGTGTGTGTGTGTGTGTGTGTGTGTGTGTGGTGTGTGTGTGTGTGTGTGTGTGTGTGTGTGTGTGTGTGTGTGTGTGTGTGGTGTGCGTGTGTGTGTGTGCGTGTGTGTGTGTGTGTGTGTGTGTGTGTGTGTGTGTGTGTGTGTGTGTGTGTGTGTGTGTGTGTGTGTGTGTGTGTGTGTGTGTGTGTGTGTGTATTCACTTAGTTGTGTTTGCGGGGTTGAGCTCTGCTCTTTCGGTCCGCCTCTTGATTGTCAATCAATCAACTGTTACTAACTTTTTTCCACACACACACACCCAGCAAGCAGCCCGCAACAGCTGTCTAACCCCTAGGTACCTATTTACTGCTAGGTAACAGGGGTATCAGGCCGAAAGATACTCTACCTATTTTGTTTCTGCCATCAGCCGGGTGTGTGTCTACTCACCTAGTTGTGCTTGCGGGGGTTGAGCTCTGGCTCTTTGGTCCCGCCTCTCAATCGTCAATCAATGCATTCCACCTGTTAACTACTCTGACACTGAAAAAGTTTTTTTTAATGTCCCTGTGGCTCATTTGGGTACTCAGTCTCCACCTGTGTCCCCACACCAACACGTGGACCCACCAACCACCCCAGGACCACACCAACACTTGGACCCACCAACCACCCCAGGCCCACACCAACACGTGGACCCACCAACCACCCCAGGCCCACACCAACACGTGGACCCACCAACCACCCCAGGCCCACACCAACACGTGGACCCACCAACCACCCTAGGCCCACACCAACACTTGGACCCACCAACCACCCCAGACTCACACCAACACGTGGCCCCACCAACCACCCCAGAATCACACCAACACTTGAACCCACCAACCACCCCAACCACTATCACTTGGACCTTCCATTCCCCCCTCCGTCCTCACCCCTAGCCCTCTCCTCTTCCCCAAACTACAGAGTTAAACTGTGCGGAAAGTCAATGACGTAACTCACAGATATTCACCAGTGTGGTGAAAATTATCTACGTATTTACGACTGCGTCCAATATAGTTCCAAAGGGACACTGCAACCCGGTGTTATCGTCTGTGGTTTATGTGCTGTTGTTATTGGCGTTTTGTTGTTGAAAAAAGTGAAACAAAAATGCTCATATTTGACTATTGAAATGTATTTATTTTCACTATATGTCTTTAAGCGTGATATGATGTTTTGATTAAAGTTCAATCTTTTTCAGTGTTGTCTGTGGCTGGAATTCTTCTGAGTGTGTTTGTGTGTTTTAGTTGCAAGATTATGATACAATGTTAATGGCTGATCACTCAGTTCTGAGTGCGTTGTTAGTTTCTTTTATTTGAAGATGGAAAGTACGGGGAAACATGCATATTGTTATCACAGAAAGGTTTAGACCAATGATTCTAGCACGGATCGTTGTTATTTCATATGTTCTTCACTTGCGAAGTAGAAGAATTAATTCTACAAAAGTTTATTTTACAGTTGTATATGGACCAACGCTAAGAGGTGCGTTTCAATGAACTTATCAACATTTGCAGTCTTAGAGGTGAATTAAATACAAGTTGGCTTCACCCACCGTATATATATATATATATATATATATATATATATATATATATATATATATATATATATATATATATATATATATATATATATATATATATATATAATATATATATATATATATATATATATATATATATATATATATATATATATATATATATATATAATAAATGGACAATATGCATTCGTACATATACTCACCCATTAATACTATGCCATCCACTCGCACAAGAACATTTCATTCGATATAAGCAAAAAAAAACTACAATCACCACTCCAATCCATGCAAAGATTCAACCCATCCTCCCATTAACAACACACCAACCAATCAGTCTCATCCTCCACCCTCCCACAGACACACTCATCCTCCACCCTCCCACAAAGACACTCATCCTCTACCCTCCCACAGACAACACTCACGACCAACCACTCCAATTACTAATCAAAAGTGAATCTACAATCTTTGATTTTCCTCCCCCAGAAGGATCACTACGGGTACTTCATCCTGGATACGGTTTTCACAGTGGTGGTGACTGGGTCTCTGGTCGTGTTCGTCTGGAGAGGCTCGTGGGTCTTCCTCGACGCCTTGTTCTTTCCTGATCACCCTGTCTACTCCGCCTGGGGTTCCATGGTCAGTATGAGTTAATGGAGATAGCATAATTCTATCTATCACAATCACTTTGTCTCGGGCTGAAACCATGTGAGTATTACTACGATTGGACAACTATCATGGTCACTACTTTCCTAGTTAGACCGTAACATGGTCAATAGAAGCTTGATTACAATGATCTACATAATTTGGGTTAATATTCCATGTTAATTTTAATATAACACATTGGGAATAAATACGAGAACGTTAGGGCCTGTCTTGGATCTTTAACAAGTCAGTCCAATGATGACTGTACAGTTTCCAGTCATCATTATCCGAAACTAAGACGTTTCGGACCGTCTTAGTCCCTTTGACTATTTGATAAGGGTCCGAAAAGCATTGGACTGTCGTCGCTTTCATTTCATATCTGTGGGTTACCTTGTTTCAGCCATGTTCATTAAAACATTATCTTCAGATCAAAGTCAGCCATATTATCAGTAAACATTAACAGCTGCTAGGTTACTGCAATTATATTTTTAATTGACTCTTTTCTGTTTAATCTTGCTGTAGCTATTTGTTCATGCCAAGATAATATTTCCCGGTTTGATTTTTCATTCTAAGATATATAGCAACATTGGGGATTGCAAAGGAATTTATTAAAATAGTATGGCTAGTTCATAATTAAAATAGCAACCGTTTGGTTTATATAATTTATAGACACTTAGCCTCATATTATTACAGAATAATATTTCCAGCATCATATTATCACAGGTTAATGCTGATCTTATCACAGGTTTAAAGTTTAGTCTCATATATATATATATATATATATATATATATATATATATATATATATATATATATATATATATATATATTAAAAAATACTCCACAAATAAATATATATATCTTGCAAAGTCAATACACAACCAGAAAATGATATATTTGTTAGTCTTATGATTCACTTCGCCCAAAACCTTGTCAAACACACACCTTGTAATGTTAGAGAAGATAAGTATTCTGATAAACAAAAGACGGTCCCTCCTCCTCCCTCCCTCGCTAGGAACTGCACGAATCACAGAGAAAAGAAGAAGCGGTCCGGAGTCAATGACCCTGTTGACACAGTTCAGGAATTCATTAAATCCTGAGGAAGTCAACACCGAGGGCGACTCTGAGAGTGGTGTGGGGGGTTGGGGGGAGGGGTGGATGGAAGGGAAGGGGGATGGAAGGGGGATGGAAGGGATTGTTTGGGTGGGAAGGAGGAGGGAGAGGGAGTGGAATAGGAGGGAGAGGGAAGTGTGATGTTAGGAGTGTCACGAACCAAGGGCGCTCATGCTAACAGGATTAATGATCGTCTTGACACACACATGCACGCACACGCACACTCTCTCTCTCACACACACACACTCACACATTCACACTTACAACATCCGACGAGAAGACCCATCCGCGTAATTATTTACTAGGATGGTTCTTCAAGACAAGAAATCAATTTTTTTTTTATTATTTTCTACCACAATAGTGGCCACACATTTACAATGTTAACCAGCATATATACATTTTCTTCTGTCCTCCACGTACAGGGTTAGAGATCTGTTAAACATATAGTTCAGTGAATTATTGAACAATCAGCCATAGAAGGTGATTGTATGCTTTAAAAATCTAATTTTACCTATAAACATAAACACACATATTTACGTCTACGCTACATAAACAGTGCTCGAGGTGTTTTTTTACATAGCGTTATTAACGTGCGTTTACAAAGGTGAAAAGGCAATTCTGACCAGCTTCCATATATCTTGTATACAAATACACATACATATACATTTATACACATATCCACATATATATACATACACCTATGTCTCTCCTACTTTGACAGGGTAAGATAGCTTCTATTGAAACTTCTAGTATGTTATTAAACACTTAACTACTGAAGGTGACTAAGAAGCTTTTACAAGCTCAAGTTATAGGTACATACATTGTATAACAGATGTATTACATATTGTATAAATACAATAAATTGCATAACAGATGTATAACGTAGTCAATCTTGGGTACAAGTCCAATATATCATCAGGTGTTCCTGTATTCATATAGTTATTTACAGAGTTCAGCATACCTCAGGCCAAGAGAGCGAAAGTCAGTCAATATGGGACATTCTACCATATAATGTTCAAGGGAATGCATGTTTTCTTTTTCACAAAGTTGACACATTGTGTACTCGGCATTTGGGGTTTGAGAGAGCTGCTAGATACGTTTATATCCCAGGCGTATTCTGGCCACTGTAACATCACATCGCAAAGTTCTTGCCCTATTAGTTCCATATATAAATGTCTCGTCACGATATTTATCATAATGTTTAATGCTACAACTTTCAGGCCTTTGTGAATTTGTTAGGTTAATATTCTCTGTCACAAATCACACGTGAAAGCATTTTATATAGCCAAGAACATATTCACACATGCATTTGAATTTAGGGTTTGTTTATATTTAACTCTATATATACGTTTTGTTGGCCTGAACTAATCAAACGAGTCTGGTGAATTGAGACAACATAGAATTAAACAGTTTGATATTTGTTTGAAGTTATGTATGTGAATATTCACTTTTAATGGATATCTCTTAATTTCTGATGAACCAAGAATCCCTGGCTTAGGAAAAGTGAAACGTTAGTTGATAATTTTCTAAGGAATCTTATCTGTAATCGACCAACAAGATACCTGGAAAAAATCCTTGATAACCTTCACAAACCTTGTGTGCGTCGACAGTGTGTTCTCCCAATTTGACAAACTTTCAATATGAAGTAGTTTTTCCCTAACATATGCATACAAACCTAGATTTTTTATTCATAGCTCATACTTGTTCGTCGGAAAATGCATATAAAGTGAGTTGCTTAAATTTCAGTAAATTAGCTCAGCTTGGTCTTGGCTGTCGAGAACGTTTAAATTGAAGTGCTTTAATTGCAGGGACGAGTTGTTCATTAAATAGGCTGAAGTAGATTTGTCATTAAAATAAATTTCAAAATGTCTGCGAGGTAGAGAAAGCCTAATTTTCTTCACTATAAACCAAAAATAACGTGTTAAAGACATTCGATTACAAGTTTATATGAGAGGAACGAAAAATAGACCCTTAATATCATCGGGGTACTCTGTACAGTAATTACTTAACAGTTCCTGATGATGAGTTGTGAGATCCATAGAGTTCATATTAATTCAACAATTCTCTACGTTCACTATGTATATTTAACTATATTATTTAATATGTTTCACCTTTAGGTTACCTTTGGATACGTAATTTATCAGCTCCAAACACGGGCATCGCGTCACACATATTGAAACACGGTTAGCAGTACCCGTAGAGTTTATTTACTTTCTCTATACTAAAACTTACACTTTACAGTTACGAAAATTAAGACATAATGCCCATTCCTTGCTTGACGCACAGCTCCTGGTCCCTGACAGATTGCAAGAAAGATTTATGTTTACGTTGACTGAAGTGTGAATTGATAATAAAACCGATAACAAAGTGGCTTGAGTCTTACAATCAGTTGTCTTGCATCTCCGCTAATTATTCCTCGCCCGAAGATGACTTGTATCCTTATGTTGCCGCTACCCAGTGAGCACCATATGTGCAACGTTGAGTGTCAATATTGAATCTAAGTTACTCTTGGATATTGTGTCACTCGGCAGACATTTTCCGAGGTTTTTAAAGCTTCTAAGTTAACAATGAAATGCCAGACATCAAGCGGAATGTTCACTCTGCAGCCATTGAACATTGCGACTAAGACGAGGCTTTTTTTCACTGTGACTAAACCAGGGTTTTGACTACGTCTACCAAGGCAGGGCTCTGACCACTGTGACCAAGGCAGGGCTTTGATCACTGTGACCTAGGCAGGACTTTGACCACTGTGATCAAGGCCGGGCTTTGACCACTGTGACCAAGGCCGGGCTTTGACCGCTGTGGCCAAGGCCGGGCTTTGACCACTGTGGCCAAGCCAGGCTTTTGACCTCTTCCAATGCTAAAATAACTTATTCCTTGAGTTTAAGATTCAGAAATCTTTATTAAAATATATTTAAAGTGAACCAGAATCGTTGGTGAAAAAGAAGTGGGTTAGGTTCAGTTTGGATCGGCTTCACTGAGAATATCGACAGCTGGGTTCGTCTCTAGTCCCATTTCGGAGAGTCCTCTCGTTGAGAAGTCAGACTCGGCACTCAGCACACCATGTGAATTCAACTGAAGTCTCCATTGACTTGTAGTGTCAAAGAAGACTGCCGTTGCATTCAGTACGTCTCGGAGTGTGACAGAGGAACTGTGGTAATATTCCCGGTGTATTTTGACGTATTTTTCTGTGGTAATATTCCCGGTGTATTGAAATGATTGGGTATTTGTGCACCCCCAATCATTTTGATACACCGGAGAACAAATCACCATTGGTGTTGGGGGCAATAGTGTCGATGTGTTGTTCTTCATATTTAGGACGACAGTAAAGATTTGGTCTTGAGGTGTTGGGAACGCCAGTAACGATGTGTCCTTCCGGTGTTTGGGAGGATATTGACGGTGTGTGTTGTCTCAGGTATTGGGGGTAAGTGACGCAGTGTCCTCCTCAAAATGTTGAAGATGCCAGTGATCCCTGACACTCCCCTCTGATGTACAGGATGACCCAGTATTTTCTTGCAGATATTGGGGTTAACGGTGACGCTACTGGTGTTCCTGGCGCAGCTGGTGTTGATCCCGTGCCTCCGGAAGGCGAGGAAGGGTCTGTTTAAGATCCTGGTGGAAGACGTTTACCACACTATCTGCTTCGTCGGCGACGTTAACGTATGGAGAGGCGTGTGGATGCTACTGAATATATATCTTCTCCCAGGTAGTGGACGCTCTCCTGTATGCTGTCTTTTCTCTGCCTTCTTGCTAAGACTATATAAGAAAGAGTTCGGCATTGTGTTTAAGGCATATCAACCTCTGGATGGTTATTTAACCCACTACACTATTTAGTGACCAACCAAAATATATACCTTAGTTCTGACCATATGGCTAACGTGAACTCTCAGTTTATATGCACTGAGAAGCAGAGTACACCTTTCGGTTACATATATATATATATATGTATATATATATGTTACATATATCCCTGTCCAGATAGTTTGGAAAGCTCCCCCATCATGTAACTGAAAACGTGTCATCCTGTAAAGGTGCCATATACCAGCATAATAACGCCATCTGTTGGCGGGCGGAATAAATTCAGAGAGAGCAGAAGAATTTTCCAATATTAATGATTTTCTTTCATCACTTAGATTTCGTTGTTTATTCAGCTTTAATGTTAATGATAACTTCAATAATTAAAATATCTTTGTTAATTTATACTATATTTTTAGACATTTATATTTATTATTTATTAAAGGCTCAATTTCCAACAAGTTTCTTAATGAATTAACATTCATTTTATATATAATAAATGATCTCACAACTCCTGCTACTTTCTTAGGCACAACAATATATGTATGAAATACAGATAATCATATCTCTTCATTTTATATGTGTACCCAATGCATACAGATTCTTTAGTTGATAGAGTATTATATTCTAAAATTTATTCTTATCCTGCGCGCGCACACACACACCACAAACACACATTATAAACTCATACACACAAACACACACACACACACTGTGTATGGAGGCTGACTCCATACACAGTTTCAAATGTAGATATGATAGAGCCCAATAGGCTCAGGAATCTGTACACCAGTTGATTGACAGTTGAGAGGCGGGACCAAAGAGCCAAAGCTCAACTCCCGCAAGCACAAATAGGTGAGTACAACTAACATTCCTCCTACACAACTTCTCGCATTCCAAATTCGGCGTGTCTTGTTTTCTCAGAATTGCTCAGTGTTTTAAGTAAGAAATAATATTAATATTACACTTACAAAAATAAAAAATTTAATTTATTCAATAGCATATAAATAAATAGCTCACGTGAAACACGACAAAATAGACACACCAGCTCGACAAGTATTACGAAAATAGTTTCCTAACTACATGGTCTAGTTAGTTAGCCTACTACATGGCTACTAGTTAGGCCTAGAAAATATCCACATTGCATTCAGTATAATGCAGGTTACATTAACTTTATCTATGAATTCAAGCAAATATGATATAAAAGATCGTAACACAAATAGTCATAATCACAACTTTAATATTGGTTAGGCCGCTACGAACTACAACGTAGTCTAGGTCGTTTGAAACAAGCCAGTAATTCTACGTCTATTATGTTATCCAGTAATTTGTTCCATAGATTAACAACCCTCTTTCCTAATCACTATTTGCCCAGGTATTCATCGAATCAAATCAAATTTAAAATTTATGCCAACTCTTGTGTCACTTTGACTTTATGACTCCCACCTGGCAGGTCTCCCAGTGCTTAGCAACTTGCTGACGACTGTTGGGGGATTGATGGTGCTCATGTGTTTCTACACCTCAAACTCTATCCTGGTCAAGGGCGCTGTGATGGATGGACTCGGTGATGGATCCAAGAGCATTGTCTTCCCAACACGATACTTCAGGCTCTTTCTCAAGGTGAGAGGTCACTGTCTCGTGGTTTTCCTCTAGATCAGAGGTCACTATCTCTTACATCTCACTACAACATGATCTCTCACATGACGAGGGTTCATTATTTTCGATTATTTTGCAACGTGAGTATTCAGTGCTTTCAGCTATTCATCATTGTGGCCCTATACTTTTTCCAGTATCTTCAGGAAATTCAGTTACATCCCTTTACTGACGACTGTTGAAACGTAAACAGGTGGAACACTTTCTTAAGTGATCCTACACGAGTTGATTACAGTTTTTGATGGATGGAGACCTTAGATTAGATTATTTTTTGGATTTAGTCAGAAAATTCGATTTCATGTGTCCCAATCTGGCGTCAGTAGGCCTCGGATAAAAATCAGTAAGACAGATTTGCACTTCTTAATCGAATTACTTCGGATATAATTCTTTCGTCTCGTATTTAATTTTTTCCCCCAGGATGGAATGTAATTAAGAGGCAGTATTTTATTATTCCTTGGTGCCCCGTTAATCATGGCCTCATTTGCATATATATTCCACAGACCTGGAATTTACGAAAGTTTGTTAAACTCTCTTGAGCCTATTTTGCACCTCCCCTTGCTGCAGCTGAGATTTAAACGTGTAGACTTACCTCCAAATGTATTCATTCCTTTGCAGGCGATGAGACACAATAACGTGGCTAAAGTATGTTGACCAGATCACACACTAGAAGGTGAAGGGACGACAACGTTTCGGTCAGTCCTGGACCATTCTCAAGTCGATTGTGAATGGTCCAGGACGGACCGAAACGTAGTCGTCCCTTCACCTTCTAGTGTGTGATCTGGTCAACAATTCATACCTTTGATTGAATATTAATGTAAGATTGTTTTAGCTAAACAATGAGCGCGAAGATTTAGTATTTACTTTATATCTAAATGAAAGCATTATTTATTGTGATATTATTAGTGTTTAACAAATGAGAATATATTTGTCCATAAAGCTCTTAAAGATTTACTGCACTGTTCCTCAGTCAAATAAAAATAAATTTGGAAAAACAAAATTGAGTAAATATTTTCATAGTCTAAATACGTCAAAATTTTATTCACAGCCTCTGAATTTATTGAAAATAGATGTTGTGTTTGTATTACTTATAAACTTAGTTATCATCTAATTATTTCTTAAAGTTTGTAGAAGTCACCTCGTTAGTGTTTAGGTATAAAAAGTAGCTGCAAACAGAAGCAATCCAAATAGTATCTTTAATTATCATAAGTAGTTCATGTAATTATCAAGTTCTGTAGTAGTAGTAGTAGTAAGTAGTCCTGTAGTAATTATCAAGTCCTTGATACTCAATAGGAGTGTGAATATATTTCAACAACGCGAAATACGGAAAAAAGTATTTTTCGTCATGGTTTTTCTTATTATAATGCTTATAGTCTTGAAATTATTGTATAAATTGAATTATGTCAAAAAGTACTGATTATGCAGGTATTCACATGTAAATCTTATCACCCAACTTTTCTGTAATGTTTTACAGAAGAGAGAGGAAGATCAGCAGCGGCCGGACCTCTGGGAGCCACTTGGGGACGGAGTCCGGCCTCCCTTATTCATCAACACGCCGATAGAATCAACCCTCGCCAGTAAGGCCAACGGCGTGTGTGATGGACGGGGCTTCGGCGACGGTCACAGCTTCACTGACGGCTTCGGGGATGGCTACAGCAGCGCTTACACCGAGGGCGACGGAAGAAGCGCGCGTCCAAATTCCACCTTCCAGAGCCCCGAGGCTAGTTCCACCAGGGTGTCCATTCGAACTTCCACCCATGATACTAGCCGTCTCGACCTCACCTCTTACGAACTCGGTCGCCAAGACCTTATCTCCTACGACCTCAGCCATCAAGATCCCATCTCTCACAACCTTGGGTCTCGCAACCCTGGTCGTCGGGCCTCTAGTTCATACACATCAAGTTATCAAGATTCTATTTCACATCAAACCGAGACGCCTTTGTAACTCTTCAGCTAGGAAAAACTTTTAGTAGTACATATACACCTCAAGAACAAAAGATAATACTTATTTTTTCACTTAGTTTCAGTTTTGAGAGTACTCAAAGCAAGCAAGACAATTGTCCCCAAAGATGAGCCTTATTAGTAGGCCTCCACATATATAGCTGTACATAATTTATATACATATATTATATATATTATATATATAAATAGATATAGTCCTCTGAGAATTGCAGTCGTGTATTTATATTCAAAGTTGACGATGTTAAGTAGATTGAATTGTAGATAGATTTCATAATACTATCATATGTATTAAGATACATACGTAATACATACTGTGTATTACGCATGTGATACGTAATGCATACTGTGTACTACGTATATGATACGTAGTACTGTGATGCACCTTCCGGCGTACCGTGATGCACCAGATAAGACGATTATCTAATGCTCTCACCATCAGGATTCAAATTTCATTTCATGGACACATGGAGTCAGAAAGTAACGGAGATTGAAATAGAGAGGAATTGTGTAGATTAGGTTCTCAATGCTAATTTACTGTTAGATCCTGTACAAATATCTCCAAAACGCATTGCTGTAACAAAATGTTTTTTAAATGTCCATGTAGTGACGTGATAAGGAGACTTAGTAAGCTGGTAACATTAACTTAGATGCAGGAGTTACCACTCGTGGACAGCTGTGGTAACTCACAATGTGCTGTCACTCAAACAGGATTCCATCACACTTTACTGTAGTCCGCGAGTCAAGAATATCATTGCTTTAAGTTGGTGCCATTAAAATGTTATTCTGTTGAGGGTATCTGTAAGGGAATTGGTAGCACGTTTACCTTATGTTTTACAACCAATTTCGGTCCGGTTGGAGATCTGGACAAGGAACGTTGAATAGACGGCAATCATTTAATGTCAGCCCCTGTTCACCCATGAGTACTCGCGGACCTGGGAACACATTGGTGGATAATATTCCAGGGAAAAGAAAGTAGGGCAAGGTTTAAGATGAGCTGTAGGAAGGGAAAGCTTTTTGCTTGCTAACAAATCAGAATTAATTTTTCTCCTGTACCCACATCTGTAGACAAATAATACACAAATGCTACTTGTGGAATGTGGAATGAACTCTGTACTCAAGAAGAGAAGAACTCCGTCGTTTTACTTTAAGACATCGCTAGTTTTAACTGAATCTTCCGTGCCACTAATTGTGCACCAAAGTTTTGATCAGTGACTTAGAGCATCATTCTCGTGTAGAAACGTGTCCATCAATCAACTTACTCTTCTGCTGCATGACATCAATTGACATGTCACCCTAGAGGGCGTAATTTTTTAAATAAATAAAAAAAACCTGTTTTGCGGCTTTGGAAATTGATAATTCAAGACTGCTCAATTAACAACAATCAAACGAAGCTTTGCCACATCAAGGAATTACAGCTTATGATAAATTTTCCTCAAAAAAGGTTGGTGTTACATATATTAAAGCATTCCCTTCTACATAAATATCTGCATTATGTCTTTTTCATTGCAGCAGAGAGTGCTGGTCATCAATATATGACGAATATTTGCTAGTCGACACACTGTTACCATACAGGCCAAATTAATTATAACTAACTACTGATTACCTTTGTACCGAACTAGTCAGAGCACGTACAGACGCTGGCCGTACCATGACCCTCACTACGTTCTCCACCGGGGACAAATCTGCCAGAATGACGTTGATGTGACCATGCATTAACGTTATAAACGGTTTTCCAACGTTCATTAAACGTTACTGGAGCATGATTTGTCCGCTGGGATAATTATCACGCTCGGGAGGGTCGAGGGATGCTGGGAACGTTGAATGACGTTAATGTTATTGATTCAACCTGAAATTAACGTAACTCTGAATACTGTACTCACTGGATAGGTGGATTGTAGGTGGATTGTGGATTAATTTATTAACTATTAGTTCATATAGATCCTTTATGCGGGATATTAACATTAAGGATCCTTGAGAATATGTAATATATTTTCACTATTTTAATGATAAATAATAATAAAAGAACCAAGTACCAAGAGTCTCGCTTGCACTATTTGTAATTTAATTTTATGATCTGTTTCGGGATTTTAATTACGATAATTTGGTTATTTGTTACTGTTCAGAATTTATTAGAAAGATAATTGGAAAGATTTTGTATTTTCCTTTTACGTCATAAGGCGTAGAAAGCTTATTAAAATATTTAAATATGTCTCAAATAAGTTATAATAACGTGACTCGAATACCCAACCCACACACATGAAATGAGAAACATATATTTCATATGTGGGTTGAATTATTGATTCAAATAAATAATATTTTTTACTCAAAAAACCCATTGAAAACCCATTTTTTTTTACGAAAGTGACTACTAGAAAGATATATGAAGATTCCAAGCTTATTAATTGCTTTTGACGGAGTTAAGACAGACCGAGTGGAGTTTAAAGGACGGTCACTTAGACTTACAGACAAGACTTAGATATTTAACAAGTTAGTTTTGTATTAAGATAAATGGTCTTTATCGAAAAAGAGCATAATTCCTGCTATTTCTGTAAAAAATTATTTTTACCTCTAAGACTTTTACAGTGGCATTATGATAAAAGTAGAAACTATTAGTTCATATAAAATGTATATATCTAACGACAGGGATATATTCACCGAGAGGTATACTCTACTTCTCGGTATATACACTCTTAGTCTACTTTAGTCCTGAACTATGTTCAGAATTAAAGTATACTTGCCGGTTGGTCAGTATTCTAGTGTGGTGCCCTTAATCGAACTTAATTGGGATCAAACTTGTGTCTCTGAAAACAAGTCCTGTACACATGCCTCCTTGGGCACACGCCTCTGGACAAACTACCGACTGAACAATGGTCCAGTGAGTGATGCGTGTGTCAGGGGCAGTTCAGGGACGGGAGATCGATCCTCTTATATGACTTCAATGTTTTTTCACAGATCTTGTGCATAATTATCCGCCATGATCAAGCACAGGAAGCATCTTGGGGAAGGAGGGTGTACATGTTCCATCTATCGGCTCTGTCATCTATGATTAGTGTTGATTATTCCAAGCGATGAGTCACAATAACGTGGATAAAGTATGTTGACCAGACCACACACTAGAAGGTGAAGGGACGACGACGTTTCGGTCCGTCCTGGACCATTCTCAAGTCGATTGTCACAATTGACTTGAGACAATCAATCTGACTTGAGAATGGTCCAGGACGGACCGAAACGTCGTCGTCTCTTCACCTTCTAGTGAGTGATCTGGTCAACAGTGTTGATTATTGTTGGATTGGGTTATTTGGGTGGCATGAAACGGTCGCTTTTCGTCTTCGATAATTTGTCTTTCTCTTTGTCCTCTAGAGGTGTCTTTCCTCTCACTTTGCTCAGTGTCTCGACTCACTCCTCCATAAAGCATCTTTCGTCCTCCATTCCCCACATCTAGCATCTCTCATCCCTCCACCACTAGCATCTCTCTCCACCACCACTACCACCAGCAACTCTCCTTCCTCCACCAGCAACTCTCCTCCACCGCCACCAGTATTTCCACAATCCTCGAATCCATATTTATTTGCTCTGTACCTTGCACCCAAACTCACAATTTCCACCAGTGCATGATACGTTGCCGTTAGTACAAAAAACTAGCCTTTGTTAATTTAAGGAGAATGTTTTACCGAACTGCCAAATGTAATTTATGTCAACACTAACACGGATTTCATGTAATATTTGACATTGTCGTACTTTTTCTTTTGTTACAAAAACTACAGATTTTTGCTTTGGTTTTAGGACCAGAGTTCGCCAATGACAGAATGAGATATTCAGAGGCATATTGACAATAATTATAGTTTTTTGTTTAAATTACCATAGTTGTATTAACTATTAAGTTTGATGTAATGCACAAAAAATATCCAAAATCATGTTGTCAATGGGAATTATTAATATATATATATATTTATAAAATTCAAGGTCTCTACTTCTTTACTTGAAGAAGGACAGTCTTTAAGATACTAACGTTTGCTCCCCAAACAAACGAAACCTGAATTGGCCAGCTCGTCCTCATAAACGAAGGCTAAATGCTCGTTAATCCCGCCGCCAAATCCCAGTTAACGAATGTAAAAGACTTTGCACACGACTCGACTCATGACGTCGGAACAATGCTTTACTGACGTCCTGTCTTAGAATCACACCTCTATAAATACTTCACGTATTGACCAGACCACACACTAGAAATTGAAGGGACGACGACGTTTCGGTCCGTCCTGGACCATTCTCAAGTCGATTGTGATGAGGACAGGTAGGGACAGGCATTAACGTGTTATTTGTATTCTTTTCATTTCGTGTTATTAACATTCACGTGTTACTAATACAAATAATTACCATCAGAACCTAAACACCTAACCTAACCTAATCTAGGCCTATTTATACCCCATATTTTAATTAATAATAGTTATATATATCTGAAAAATACTGATTTTGAATACACAGTAAATTAAAATTTGAGGAATGTGTCTTTGGGGTCGGCAGTAGCTTGGACAAGCAGAGCCTGAGGTCGAGAGGTGATTTCTGCTACTTTATGTGTAGTGAACGTGGGTAAATATACACACTAAATTTGTTTTCTATGGCTGTGTATATTCGCTGTATAAAGGACTGCCAGGAAGCTGTTTCCTCATAATATTTAGTGTACATAAGCATCAGTTCTGCTATCTTTTGTATTTAAAGTTACGGATTCCAAATTAGGCAGCAAAGGAGGTAATTTTAATTGTAGAGGCAATTAATTGTAGAAAACGCACCGAAATTGTGAGAAATCGCTAAGCCAGGATGACTATAGTACATGTAAGGGATACGAGGACATTAGGAGATGGGATAGAAGAATAGAGGAAAGGAACAGTGCCTAACCAATTGGGCAATTGGGAGTCGAACGGCAACTTACAAAGAAGCGAGGCTGTTGCTGTACCGATAAGTCCAAGTGACTGCACTAACAGAAGAAAATGATATAAAATAAACATCATTTATATACACCAGTAACGTAACTTTCGTGCATTATTAATGTGCCTTAACAATGTAAGGTGAGTATGCATGACCTGTCCTCACACTAAACTCACCACATATGTGACGTCAACATTAGATACTTTAGTGAAATTAATGTCGTTTTCGACTTTAATTAGTCGGACGCTAATTAAAAATCGTTTTCACGAATTAATGAGCATACGACCTCAATATGAAACGTGGCCTGCTTGTCTTTGTACCCTTCTGGTTAGCTAAAAACTACTTATAATTTGATGCTTGTCTAATCATTTTAACGGCCTGAACCAAGATCAAAAGTCTGAACAAGGTTCTAAAGTCTGAACAAGGATTGAAAGTCTGAAGGTACGGAGATGTAAACAGGAATATAGCTGCCGGTATACGTGTGGTGTTTTATCAGTAATGTGTGTGAGTGTATGTTTCCACTACGTACAGTGCTATTTAGGTTTAAATAAATAAAACATTAACCATATTGCTATATATTTTATTCTTCCCGAATGTGAAGAGTCTTTGAGACACTTGGGGTGATTTCAAGGGGACGAATGTTGATATTTCCATGCTTATTCTGTAGTAAAAACAAGAATTAAGTAATCAATTTTACTTAACGATTAATTATATTCAAATAAAATTCTTGCTGCTTTGCTGAACACGAAAATAAGAGTATAATTTGAACTTTACAAATTATACCGTACAAGCTGAAAAATATTAATTTAAGTGTTAGATAGGGTACCTTGCGGTACCCGGAGCGACCCTAAAATGTTGTTCTATTGGATTGGGCTCTGATTCAAGAGGAGCAATAGAGCCGACCCAGACCCACCTATAACAGTCCACTCACTCATACTAGTCACCCTGCAAAGCCCAGTGAGGCTACCCCAAAGCGTCTGACCTACAACCTTGGACATACATACAGAGAAACCATTTTATGGATCAAAAAGATTGCAGCTGAAAAAAAGGAGTAACTGACGAACATAAAATAAATATTGAATTTGCCCGGAGACAAACCAGAGAACAGAGTAATCATTTTCAACGCCTTCCGATAAGTAGATGAGTTAATACGAGATGTAGTTATCACGAGGCTAGTAGATCTGGCAGATAGCGAATGCAAAAGGCTAGTGGATACGATAACAAGTGAATATGACGGCTAGTGGATATGACAGCTAGTGAATATGGTGAATAGTGGATATGACAGCTGGTGAATATGGTGAATAGTGGATATGACAGCTAGTGAATATGGTGAATAGTGGATATGACAGCTGGTGAATATGGTGAATAGTGGATACATCAGCAAGGGAGCACAGGTGCTAGTGACTAGGACAACTAAGGAACACGAAGTCTTCGTTAGAACGGTAACTAGAGGATGAAAGACTAAGGGAGTATGTACCCTGTACTCCCTAGATACGGCAGCGAGGGAGGGGAGTACAGGGGGATATACAGGCCTGGGCACAGGGGGGGGACTGAATAGTGAGGGAGCGAGAGGGATGGTGAGTCAAGAGAGACAAATGAACACCGTGGAACGCACTCCAGTATTTACATTTTGGCTGGACGGAAGAATTTGCCAAATTTTCACTGTTCAATTTCTCGATCATTTTTCACAACCATTGGTAGATAAAGAACAATAAAGATATATATATATATATATATATATATATATATATATATATATATATATATATATATATATATATATATATATATATATATATTTATTTATTTATTTATTGACGATACTCTGAGCCTGTGAATATCTGGCTAAGTCAAACAATGTGGATACTGTCATTTGGCGCCCAGATAAAAAATTGAAGGTGAAAATTGAATGAAAAATGTATTTGGCGCAGAGATAAAATAATAGTCATTCAGCTTACACTTAACAATACACTCACTTTAGAGTAAGAAATGCGAAATGAGTTGACTTCTCGGTATATTCAACTACATTTCTAATGCTCAAATGAGCAGAATTTGCTATTGATGATAAGCTCAACGAGCGTTATATTGTATAAATATTAGGTTAACCTTCCATGACTAATTGTAAGCGATGAATCAGCATCACTTGGGGATTATAGATAAGTAATTAATTGATCACGAAGCCAACAAAGGTCTAATATTCCTACATATTCTCATCGCTGCTTATAATCCCACGCTAAAGAGCCTCAACTATAATATAACACACACCGAGTGCCTTGTCTAAAATGTTTATTATATTATATACACTGCCTTTACAGCTTATTAAGTTAATTAATGCTTCCGCCACTAGATCACTGACGTGTGTCGCCATCTTAATAATAAGATAACAATCTGACTAGGGAATTATAATTTTAGCACCTCGTTCAGCGGCCACTAGCCTTCGCAAGAGGAACTACCTCGTTCTCTGTTTGACACTTCGTAAAAAATGCAGTTGTTCTAACAAAAGCAACTCATCTAATCTATCGAGACAGTAAAATGTTAATTTTACGGTGGTTTCATTTTTACAGATTGGCCGTTTCCGTTAAAAAAAAGATGTATTAGGTTAGAGAACAAATTGTTAAGGTTGATTCTTGTTCTTCAGAACATGGGTTCTTACGTGAGAATAACTTAAGCTGCTGTGTTCGATGTTATGACCTTTCAGCTTGACGATGGCTTAAGCTATCAGTGGGCTTGACTCACGGGGCTGAGCCAACAAACAATAATGTGGGTTAAGCTCCCAGCGAGTTACATTGATTTATCACGTTAATTGAGCTTGATGTGGTGCTTTTCCTTCACTCAGTCGGTTCACCACAAAACCCTCACGAACCACATATGGTAAGCTACGAATAACGGTTCGCCATTCACTCACATAAAGAATACGGTGATCGCCAGGGGTGAAAAAATGAACACAAAAGCTTAGTCAATATGCAGGCGATGAGTCACAATAACGTGGCTGAAGTATGTTGACCAGACCACACACTAGAAGGTGAAGGGACGACGACGTTTCGGTCCGTCCTGAACCATTCTCAAAATCGACTTGAGAATGGTCCAGGACGGACCGAAACGTCGTCGTCCCTTCAACTTCTAGTGTGTGGTCTGGTCAACACTTAGTCAATAGGCATGAAGGCGAGTGCTTGCCGTGCTAGGAGAGAGCTAGTTTGTATCTGCTGTTGCCGCTGGCTATTTCATGTGCTCGAGGACGACTAGGAGAGAGATGCTAGCAGCTAGCCTCCATATCTCTCCTTGTTGAACACTCACAAGGCGATGCCTTGCCTGTTGGTCAGCGAATGAAATGTTTTATTATTAATGGTCGCTGAATTGGTTCTTTATCAGGAAGGGGTGATTATTGTGGTAGTTCTGAGGATGGGAATTACGAGGGACATAATTTATTCACTCCACTATCAACTCACTGTTATATTCCCTTCCCTCTACCAGCCTTCCATCCCTGTTCCACTTAACATTCCCTCCCATCTGTCCCTCTTTCCTTACGCGATGAAAATATTAATTGCGAAACTCCTAAAAGCGTCGAAAAAGATTCTTATTCATATGATAGGAATTCGTTAATAAATTATATACCAGGAATTGAGAGCATCCATTTCAGTTTAAGATGAATTATTGGTATATCTGTCATTCATCATTCATCGCACACATGGTTCTTCAGCTTGTCCTCGAAATTTTCAAATTTGTCGCACCACTTTTCTTTACACCAGGACGAGTTTTGCTTGATTTTGTTTGTTTAAATTTGAAGATTTTGAAGCACATTTGAAGATTTATGTATTTCCTTCACAATGAAGGAATGCAGCATAGACTGTGCTGCACAGACTGAGTTGCTGTGTTCTGTGCTATGCTACAGAACACAGATCTGATAAACGCAGCCGAAACAAAATAATGATTAAAACTAGAGTATAAGTTATAGGAGACGTATAAATATTACATAATTTCTGAGTAAGATTACACACAGAATACAGAGTAATCTAATCGTGGACTAAAAATTATAAATACCTTCCAATCCTAAAACAAATTCTTGTTTTAGAGAGAACACTATAGTTCTATGAAGAGAAACTGACATGATTAATCCCATTTTGCTTTTGATTAATCATATAACGCTGCGAGGTATTCTGGTTGTCAAACCCATTTATGAAGGTCAAAATTTCGATAATAAATTCTTCCCATTTCCCTTAAGCATGGCCCGGCGGGGGGGGGGGGGGGGGGGGGGGAAGAAAAAATCTCGAATTAGCAAACGTGCGGATAATCTATTTGCAAATAATTCAACTCATGGAACAGAATTTCCGAATGAGCAAATTTCTGATTAAGCAAAGTTTCGAAGAACTGAACATTTTTGGAACATGAAGGTAGACAGGAATGTATTTATAATCTTTTCTCCATAATGGGATTACTCTGTATTCCGTGTGTGATCTTACTCAGAAATTATTTAGTATTTATGCGTCTCCTAGAACTTATATTTTCGTTTTAATCATTATCGAGCAGGATATTTAAATGGTCAACCACGTGCCCCTCTGTCTCCCTCACTGCTTAGCAACCACATCCTGTTTCTCTTACTGCTTAGCAACCACCCTCCTCTCCACCGACAGAGACATGTTCTCTGTCAACAATGCCGTTAGATAACGTCGACCAGACTGGGGTGTTATTTGTTTTAATCCATACGTCCGTAGGTTCCTAGTTTACAAGATTGGATTTCTGATTTTTATTACAACACAAAAAGATAATCTGCTGAAGCCTTCGAGGATTTACATCATTTGATGTAAATCAAATTTACATCAAGCCGAGTGGGAGTCATTTATGATATAAAATGAGTTTCTTCTTTCTTTTTCTTTTGAATTTTCCTGATTTAGAGTTGAAAAGTGCAACGCGTTTAGGGGTTATGAACCTCTGGTACAAGACTGCAACTGTTGTAGAGCATGTGTACATATCTGCACATGCTGAGTGTAGATATGTAGTGTGTGTGTGTGTGTGTGTGTGTGTGTGTGTGTGTGTGTGTGTGTGTGTGTGTGTGTGTGTGTGTGTGTGTGTATGTGTGTGTGTGTGTGTGTCCTTCTCATAGCTTGTCTTTCTAAGTCTGCCCTTGACCCCTGTCCGTGCTGTGCCCTAGCTCTGCCCTTGCCCAGGATCTGCCTCTACCCTGCGTCTGCCCTAACTTGACCTGCCTTTACCCTAACTTGTCTCTGCCCTACCCTGCGTCTGCCCTACCTCTACCACTCCTCTGCTGTGCCACAACTTCCCTCCTCCCCTCTTCCCTCTGAACTTGCCCATATACTGCCCCTTCTATCCCCTGCCTTTCTGCTGCCATACCTACCTCAATGCCTCAACCATTGCCCTTGCCCAGTCCTCACAACTGTCAGCTCTAACAATGCCCTTGCTTCTTCCCCCCCCCCTTTCCCCTCTTCCCCCCTCTCCATCCCCTGTCGCTCCTGACCCGCCTCATTCGAGCTCTCCTCTCTAAAAAAGACCTTTTTTATGGCCCTCTTTTGTGTTCTGTTGTACGGAAATCCCCCCCCCCCCTCTTCCTCCCCA